GCAGTAATTTGGAGTCCGCAGCTCAAAGCTTTCCTTATTGTCCTTGCACGGAGAGTGACAGTGAGAATCTCTGCTACCTCCAGAGCTGAAGGAAACTATAGAAAGGCCTTTGACTCCTTACTGCCACGGGGATCCCATCTGACCCGCTGTGCCTGTGCTGCAGAAATGCTGAGCATAGGTTTGCTACAGAAATCCTCCATTGACTGGCTTATATTATTGCCAACAAATTTTGAAAATCAAAATGCCCTAATGTGAACATGAAGTTCTAAGAAAAGTTATTTGCACTAAAAAAATAAAAGGAGGCTGTCAAATTAAAAAATTGAAGTGGACACATATTTTCTTATACAGTAAATATTTAAATTAGATTATATGTAGTTGGACAGACCCCTGATAGAAAACACAACTATATGTAAAGCACTTCTAACAAATTTGAATTATTTTTCTCCATTTCATGGCTCAGTTACATTTTTATTTTTCTGAAAGATGAATAACTCCATTTGTTCCACTGCTTTTTGCTCCCCCACCCATCTTTTTACGGGCTTTCATATAAGGCTCTTTCAAACAGAATTTTGGGCAGGCTCTGGCGGTCGGTTGAGGTGTCTCGTGACCTGCAGTCGCTGGGGTAAGGGCCGTGATGCGGCGGCCGCAGGATCCAGGGGCAGCGGAGCCGCCGCGGGAGCCCCGGCTGCGGCTCGCCTGGGCCAGGCGCTTCCCGCAGCTTTTCCAGGCCTGAGATGTTGCTCCGCGTGCTCCTGTCGCGGGATGTTTTTCCGTGGCAGGACATCAGGCAGTGCTGTTGTCCCCATTCTGTTTTTCCTTTCCATAGATATAAAAGCACTGGAGATTCTCTTGCCAACTTTGCATGAGTCACAAATTCACTCCTTTTTTTTATTTATTTTAAGGGAGAGCACTGGGAAAGGAGGGAAAAATGTCTTACAAAGAATGTAATGCTCTATTTTGTAGAGTGTGATTTGTTATTGCTCTAGCAATAAAGGGAAAAACAATGTTTGTGTATTGCTGCTCTTACACTATTTCATCATCCACTGGGACTGGTATTCTTTTGCACAGCCTTTAGCAAAAAAGGATACTTTGCTGCGGTTTTACTCATGTCAGTATATGCCTTTGAGTACATTAAATTCAGTGTGGAATAGTTAATTTGGGACCTTGACCCATACTTGCTTTTTGAAATCATTCTAGCTCTTAAATTCTTAGAAGAAGCCAGAGGCTAGTACTTGAAACCTATTCACAGTACACTACAATGCTCTTTGAGTCAAGATTTCCCTGTTATCTTCTTCTCTAAAATGTGTCATCTTTTAGGCTGCACTTCACACTCAGGATTATTAGTACCTTTGTAGAAAAAGGCTGTGTCTTAATTTAGCAGTTTTGTGACAATAATTCCCGTGCGCTGCTCAGAAAGGGGTCACAGCGATGTTCTTGCTGCTCTGCTTGGCTAAGAAATGAAGGGATGTCTATTTGCAACCCACAGCAGAGGGTTTGTGCAAGAGGTTTTGAAACAGTGTTCCAGCAGCGTGTGGAAAAGCAACCAAGGAAGCACCTCAACATTAAAGCCATAGGGAAACTAAGCAACCGTACAGTTAACTAGTAAAATGCTTGTAGTTTTTGTTTTCAAAGTAGACGAAACACTTCAGAACAAAAAGTGATGCAGAACTTGGGATGCAGTATTAATTCTTTCAAAATTATGTCCAGTTCCTGATGATTGGAGACTGAGTTATAAGTGTGCCATAAAATAAATACTTGCATTTTACATGCCATCCTTACTAAAACCTCTGTGGAAGAAATAATTTATAAAGTAACTGTGATGGAAAGAGGGTTACCAGGAATGGGCAGATTATTATATTCTTTATGAAATAGATGTGCCAACTTAGAGAACTGTGAAATCAGCAGGGGATTTAACCTTACAGAGTTTTGGTTAAGAAGAGTAATTTTTAACCCTCCTTAGTTCACTCTGTCTAAAATTGTCTTTGAAGGGAAGGGTCGTATTTGGATTGTTTTTAAGCCGGAAGTTCTTGTTTAGTGCTTTCACAGTATGAAATGTGTTAATTGTTAAAATAGATTTTGTAGGACAATTTCACTGTCCAGGAAAACTAAGGCAATACACGCAGTACATTTGGCCGTTCTGTACATATATTTTTTAGAAAATTTTTGCAAGAAAAGTAAATTCTCTCTCTTTTTTTTTTTAACTGAATCTGTAGAATTCAAAACTAAAAGGTGTCAGGCTGCCAGACTTTTGTTTCGTAATGGTAACAAGCTGCCCCACCTGCTCAAACAGGAGTGCAAGGGCGATGACACACACAGATCAAACGCGTGGTAGATGCTGGCTTCCCAGTGCAATATTGCTTGGCTGTTTTGTTGAGGTTTCACACACATATATAAAAATAACAGCATTTTTAGCTGATCCCAATAGATTTTCTCTGCAGCTGCATCACTTGAAAAAGGCTCTTTGTTCCAATTCTTGAAGTCTTAAGTATTGCAACTAATTTTTTTTTAATCTCAATTATGATTTATGTGTTGTGATGACTTTAAGGGCTTGATTGGGCTACAAATGTGCTTTGAAAAAAAAAATGAGAAAATATGCCCATGAAAACCACCAGCAGTTCAAAGATGAATATTGAGCGTACAGTTGTAAACTCACATGGCACATGGCTGGGTAGGTTTTTTTGGCAGACCTATAGTCTCAACCTGCAGTGATGCTAAAGATATTAGCAAATTAGCACTGCAGAGCTTGCCAGCGTATTCACCAGAGTCCTGCTCATGCTCTCAGTGCTGTAATTAAAACTAATTATTTTCTAAAACATAGTAATACATGAATATGTGCAATAATCATTTTGTAGTGGGCAATCTGTGAAGTATTTTTAAAGCTTTTTTTCCCCCTTCCCTCTTTGGCTTGTTATGCAGTGTGCTTGCTGCCTAGTGTGAGCCAGCATTGTCATCTTGCAGCAAGGCAAACCAGATCAGGTTTATATATTTTTTTAACAGTAACACTTTGCTATTTCTAAAAATGTGTAAGCTTTGTATTTTCTTTTTTTTTTCTGCCTGGTAGGTTATTCTGTCCTTCTATATTTTTCTTATCTCAGATCTTTCTTTGAAAGAAGGGCGTGCAGGAGAGAAAAAGGGAGAGGAAGGGAAGAGAATCCAGTCTTCTGTAAATGCTGTGCACATCGTTTTCTGCAGGAGAAAAATAATAATAATAACCACCCAGTGCCTTGCTGTTGTTCTTTGGCTATTTGTATTGATTCAGTGACATAGCACCTCCTAGGATCTGCTCGGGTGTTTGCCTGGATGTTTCTTCTTGCATCTCTTTAGCAGCTGAGGAGCCCAGCAGCTCTGCAGCAGTAATGCTGTGCTGAGCTTGCTTCACTTGCTGTGCTTTGAATGAAAAAAAGGCTTAAACTCCCCGCGCCCCGGGGAGCGACCCGTGCGCTGCTACCTGAGAGAGACCCTTGGGCGCTCATCACATCCCTCCTCGCTTGGGTGGGAGGGGCGAGCGCTGGATGCCGCTTCCCGACGGAGCGGGGCTTGGAGCTTGCAGCGAGGGCTCCCCATGGCTAAGGAATTTGGCCGGAGATGGCAGGGGCTGTAGCTTCGGCGTGGAAACGTGACTGGGAATTTTGACCTTTTTTCCTCAAATTCCAAAGCAGGAGAAAAAGCCGTGTATTACTGAGCGACTCATGTTACTGAGGGGAAAGCACAGTAGTGACTAGAATAGGCTGTTGTCCTCTTGCAATATAATGGTCGTATCCACAGATGGTTGAAAACCTGCTGGAAGCGTGAAAAAATGTATTTTACTCTGTAAAAACCGTTGTCGTCGTCGTCGTTGTGAGGCACCTGTGTTCTTGCCTCCTTGGTTCTCCTCCTCTTCCTCGCTCCAGCCGAAGAGCTCTGCCGCTGTCCGGCCCTGGAGCGGGGCCCCGCGCGGCCCGTGCCGGCAGCGCCGCGCTGCCGCACGTGGGTTTCCGGCCGAGCCGACCGCGGGCACGCTTAACTGTTTCTCCTGTTTTCGATTAGCACCTATGGGTCTTGCAGATATGATGACGCCCGGTGAGTCCAAACTCCCGCTTCCTCTCAAAGCGGACGGCAAGGACGAAGGCGGCCCGCAGCCCGAGAGCAAGGCCAAGGTATTTACCTCCTCCGCACGTGGTGTTGGTTCAGCCCGCAGGAGCCTGCTCTGTTGTCCTCCATCTTCTGGTTTTGGCCTCCCCTCTTCCGTTCTTCCTCGCATGCCTTCCCGTTCACGTGCAATCTCTTTGTTTCTTTTCTTTAATTTTTTTTTTCTTTTTCCTTCATTGTGTGGATCTGAAAGTTACTAGTTCTTACGGCATTTTAACTTGCGGGGGCAAAGCGACCCAAGCCAAAAGTTGCGTGGGGATTTGGCTGTGCCAGGTGGGTGGGGAAAAAGGGTCTTGCCTGGTTTCAATCCTTGCAGCCATTTTTTCTCTGCCTTCAGTTATAGCTTCCTGTTTTGGCCGCCTCAGCAGCAGCAACATACTTTAATATTTTGCTTTCCTGCCTTATTTGGTTAAAATAAGGTGAACGGCTTGTTTTTTTTTCTTTCTTTCATAAGGGGAAACCCATGCTTAGCATTCCATGTGAGCTTGAAAGTAAGCATGGTGGCTTAATGACTTTAGCCAAGCATCCAGCAAACTTTCCAAATTATACTAATTAATAATGCTGTTTTAATACCTTTTATATATATATATAAATATATTTATATATGTGTGTGTTTTCTGTATGTGTCTCTCTGTTTATATATATTTTATATATAAAGAATTGGTCAGTCTGTTAAACTGGATGTATTTTTTTTGTTTTTAATAAAGTTTGCCCTGCCTTTGTCATATTATTTTTTTTTTATTCCTCTACCACAGGATAGCTACAGCTCTCAGGGTATTTCTCAGCCCCCAACCCCAGGCAACCTGCCAGTCCCTTCCCCAATGTCCCCAAGCTCTGCTAGCATCTCCTCATTTCATGGAGATGAAAGTGATAGCATTAGCAGCCCAGGCTGGCCAAAGACTCCATCAAGCCCTGTAAGTGGCTCTGGTTCTTTTGGTTTTTGTTTATTTTTTTGTAATTAATTATATTTTAATGCTTGCTTGTTTGTTTTATAAATTCCTTTTCTTCATTATTTATCCACTAAACAGTTTTCTTTCTTTATGACATTGGGTACAAATTCTGCTCTTGGAAACATGACTGTAAGTTCCACTGCTTGGCTTCAGTGGGGCCCGAGCATGCTCAGCCGAGGGCAAAATTTGTCCCAATAGTAATTTGAAATAAGAAAGAGTAATATTGCGTGCATCATGCAAGTGTGCTGTCTAGTAATACAGCAGTTGTTGTGAAGAAAACATCCTTCCTGTAATGCATCAGCTTCCAAGCATGCCAACTGTGTTGTTAAGGACAATTCCATTGCTGTTCCTGGGCCCAAACTCCTTCACACAACTGACTTCACGCTGTTTGCTGCACTTGTGTGTGCTAGTGTTGTGCAGAAAAAAAAAAGGCAAAACAAAACAAGTAATCTTCTCTCCTACTGAAACTCAGATCTGTCAAAAATTGAATTACAGGCTCAGCACCACAAAAAAAAAAAAAAAAAAAAAGACTGTCATGTACTCATGTACATTTCTGGAACATTTTTGAATTACGTATTTGGCAATACAATTAAATTATCAGGAAACAACCAAGTAATATTGTTTCTGATTTGCTTCATTCATTTGTTCTGAAATAACACAAACTGTGGGAGAAAAAAAAGTGTCGTATTTACACATTTAGAAAACTACTCTTTTTAGATGAATAGATGAATAATGTTTAGTCTATCTGGTACTGGTTATAAAGAAGAATCTGTGTGAAATGCATGGAGCTAAAAATAAATGTGTTCATAGTATGTGTATATATATATTTGCACATATACATACATAGAAAATTTGTATTCATATACGTGTGTATATATATAAAAAAGAGAATGTGAACACAACCATACATGGCCTATGAGGAGCAAATGCCCATTTTTGCTTTGTTTTTTCGAATTAGGAAAATATGTTGTTCCTCTTTTTTTTTCCTTTTAGTAAAAGTAATAGAAATGATAATTTCTATGTAGCAAAATACTGCAATACATAAAGGTGTTTTTTTCCAATGTTAATGTGCAGTTAACATAGGAACAATTCTTGGATCATAACTTCATTTTCACAAGGTGATACATTGAAGATTATATCTCAGGGGAACAGTGGAAGGCCATTTGGAACGCAAAAACGTCTACTCATCCAAAATCAGAAGCTAGTGAATCCCCTAAGCAGAGGGGTGCATGGCATGAAATGCACCACCTTAAGTTTGATGTTTACTTGGTAGTGACTTTGACTCTCAGAAGGCAGCTGGTGTTACTTGTCCTCACAAAGTCCCACTTTTTCTTTTTTTCTTTTATTTATTTTTTTTAAAGAGGATTTCAGAAAGGGTGGCACCAAAACCGGGATTTGTTTTCTTTTCAGTAGTATTTCTGGTATTGTTTCTTTGGGATGTTTCCTGGAGGAAAGCGAGAGGAGAGCAAGAGAGCGCTTGCATAGGCCGTCTAGATCTATCTAGTGCTCCTGACAGGGGCTACCCCGTGCATTCCTGAGCTCATTGTACAAACTGCTTCACAAAGCCCAGAGCCATCCTGAACTTCTGTGGAGTTTTTTGCATTTGAAAAAACGTGGCAAGATACACGTTTGGGGAACGTTAGCGCTTGCAGCTTTAGAGCTGTTCTCAGGGCTTTCCTCTTCAAACGCTGCTGCATCTTTGGCCTCAGGTTTCTTCTCAGGACACAGGTATAAGTGGATCCTGCACTTTAAAATGGTGGAAGGGTAAGTGCCATAAATTAGCAGATCTCTTTTTGCCCAAGAAGGCCAGCATATTGGATAACTGCATTGGCTTCAACAGCCTGAATTTATTCATTTCTTTATTAAATTCTGAAGCTGCTTCATGTGCTACATGAAATTTCTCCTTTCTAGCTGTGGACAAAAAAGCAAAGGTGAATGGTCTGTCATCCACTGCAAAGTATCCTTGGGATCCTAAGTGGATCCTCTCTTCCAGTGTTTTCTACATGGAAGTGAAATGGGAGAAAATGTGCGGAAGGAATTGTTAAATGGTGTTTTGAGGGCTCTTCAGCAGTATAGTTGAAAGGATGATGTTCTGCTATTCTAATTCAGTGTATAATGACCATTTGTGGCAGAGAACTGGTGTCTTTAGATTAATTAAGAGGATATGAAAGCATGGGTGCGTAATGCAGAGGGTCAGTGCTACATGAATAGCACAGTGAGTTATGAAAACCCCATAAAGTGCTGTTCATTGCTCGCGGGTGCACATGGATATTGCACTAGAGGCAGCTGAACGGTGCTGTGTAACAACACTAGCTACGAGGGGTCTGCAGAGCCCTTCAGGAAACCGTGTCGCCTGTATGTGCACACCTTGTTCTGTAAGGAAATGGGCCAGTACAGTAAGTATAACATTGGAAAATTCTTGATTGAAGTGGGAAAAGTGGATATTAGATAGTTCTATAATGCAAATTATCTACAGAAATGTACAGAAACAACACCCTTCTGCCTTAAAGCAGGATTTCCTAAAGAAAGTTTCATTGTTCTGAAGGATTCTGTAAACTTACCATATAAGAGTCTGTATATAATAAAATTTTAAAAGATGGTAGGTGCATTAAAAACCAGACATGAGGTAAAACAATTTAGCATGGAAAGTAGCTTCAGTTTCCTCTTGCTTATTTTTTTAATTGCCCATTTAAATATGGCTGCTCATATTTGTCAGAGTGCTGAAGGACTGAGAGCAGAATAAACTCTAGCTAAATTAGTAAAGATGTGTGCAGCAGGCTTGCCCCAGCATGCTCTGGCCATCAAAATTATCAACAAAACTTACAGAAGAAAAACACGTGAATTGTATTCTTCCAGCATTGCCTGGCATATACGTGTTTATAACAGTCTGTTAATGGGATCTTCTTGTAATAAACCCTCATTTTCTGGGGATAATATTTATGTATAAGTAAATGTAGACTTCCAGCTGAATCTGCCCACAAGGAACTAAAATTTGTGTGTAGACTGGCTTGCACACATCTGTCATTTTTATGTGTTTAAGTTTATAAAAATACAGAAAAGGAAAAGATCTTTACTCTTGAGGAATAGCATTTTTTCCTCCAGTGCATTCTTCTAAAGTTAACATTTCATTTTAGAAGAAAATTGCACCCATTTTACAAAGTGTGACAACCTGAAAGCTCACACAGTAAGAAACACTTCTTACCTTCTGTAAGCTGTGAAAAGTTTTCAGATTATACTGTCATTTTAGAGCCTGCTGCAGCACTGCTGAAAAGCAACATTGTTTGAGATGTGTAGTAGAACCCAGTATGAAAAAAATTTAGCCAATTTCCATTCTGCTCCAAATTTGATTTTAAAAAGAAAACTTTAGCATATAAAAGTGAAACATAAAACTGGTAAATCTGAACATTCTTTCAATAGTGAACTTGCATAAAAGTAAAATAGAAACTACTCTGTTGCTTCATATGTTAAATATAAGTACATACAGAATGTGCCATGTAAAAGCTTATAGCTTTAATTGTAGTTATATGGCATCACAAGGATGAGCTGAAGATTAATGTTGATGAACAGTCAATTTGTCCTTACTGCAGTTAGTAATAGCGTAATTCCAGTTTGTTCAGCTGTTCAAATTTGTATGGTCGTATTTCTATTCTCATTGCAAAATCAAATGTTTAGCAAACTGGCCTAATTCCCTTTTCCCAACTACTTCAAAAAAAGAATCTTTGAGGCAGTGCATTTGTTAAAACCAGTCTTGATTTTTAAAGACTCAAATAGGTAGCAAGTGTTTCTTCAAGTGAAAGGATTTCCATTAGAGAAGCGGTTTGTGTTTCATTGCATAAGCTACAGGGTTATGTCAAAGCACTTTCTTGCCATCCATGTAATATCAATGAACCAAATTCAGCCTCAACACTGGCTTAAGTAGGAGTGACACCACCACTAAATACAACTCGAGTGAATTGATCAGTGTGCCCCATTTCTAAGTAAGAAAGGTAATATTATCTCCTGGTAGGAAGGATTACTGTAAAAAAAGTTATACAATCAGGAAGCACAGCAAAAAACTTTACAGGACGCTCTGTATTGAAATAAAATTAATATCCATTCTCAAGGAGAAACAGCAATGGCTCATGGAAATGCTGGATCACCCCCGCTTGGCTTCATGTTTCTCTTCTGGCTCTCCTCCAGCATTGCCAAGTTCCAGGAAAAGGCTGGAGAGATGCAGAGCCTGTTGCACCTTCCAGACTAGCACGTGCAAGATGAAGGGTGGCAAAACCTTTGAGATCATGGGCAGTTGGATGCTGCAGCACTACCTTTTCCGTGGTGTCCGTGCCCTCCCTCACCAGTGCTGCGTGGGACACAGACAGCTACTGCGTCTGTAGCATCCCTGAGGCACATCCAGAGTCCTCTGTAGAGTTGTTCAGCTCTACAGAGCTGCTGCTTACTGTCTCATGTTTAAAATAAGCAAAAAGTTAAGGAATAAAAGATGCGTAGTAGACTAGATGCACTTAAGAAATAGCTACTGCAACCAAGTTTATGTTTTTACTATACATATATAAAGAACGCTTCCTCTGACAGACCTCTGTGTTCCTTCCCCAAAGCCTTGCCAGTCTTTCCCTCTTCTGTATAACTGTGAAGCAGCCTGTCTTCACTACCGAGCAAAGGCCTCCCCTGCTTCACGCGAGAGGCCCTTCGTGCCGCAGAGGCAGCACGTCTGCTCTGCGCCCAGAGGCGCTGCCGAGCGCGCGCGGCCGAGCCCAGCGCCCAGGAAAGGCAACGCGGGAAGTTGCAGCCTGTGTAGCAGCCTCGGTGCTCTGTGCTGCCTCCACACTGAGAAGAAAAGGGCATAAAGATAATTTGAGCCTTTGTGAGCTGCAAAGCCAGAACAGCGGCAAGAGAAAGGTTTTGCTCTCGCCCTTCTGCGGCGCGAGGCAGAAATCTGCTCTTTCCACCTCTTTTGGCTTTCCAGTGGTGGCTCAGCTCTGGTTGCTATGCATCCCTGTTTTTGCTCTGATCATAATATACATTTTGTTTCTAAAGGTAGGGTATATGAAAGGCCTTTTCTCTTTCATCCTTCAAGAGGGGAGAGCAATAACTCCTGACCATGCAGCTAATTGGCAGTTCACACAGAGTATTGCCACCAGTCTTCTTGTACTGTGGGCCTTCCTATTCATCTTTCTTTTTTTAGTCAGCAGTGGTGAGAAGAAATAGAAAAGCATAACCATTTATGACCATCTGAATTGAGCACTACTCCCCAGAGTGCCCTGATGCCATAATTCGTATTTTAGGTTGTTCTTGTGCAATTCCTATTCTGGTAGAGCAGTTAGGTTTTCTTGCACCTTTCTTTTGGGGAAGGTGGAGGGAGTTGGTTTGTTTTGTTTTTAGGATTTTACAAAGTCGTGTGGGACAAATTCATTTTTAATGTTGCCAAGCTACTGATAAGAAGCACTATGTGAGAGCTACCTGTTACAAAAATGACATGAGGCAACATCAGAAACTTGCCTTCTGGGATCCAAAGTTGAGATCAGTGAAAGAAACATGAAAATCGGGAGTTTGGGCCCTGTATTTGCAAAGCTGAATTTTCAGTATATGGACAGAGTGTACTGTTTGTGCCTGAACTAGTAGCCTTCATTCCTGACTGTTGTGTGATAGCTTTAGTTTGTTTGACATCTTCTCTTTTTCAATGTTGTGAGTTTCTTACTTTCTTTTCCCTCCCCCTCCCGCCCTTCCCCCAACTCTTTCTTTTCTTTTTGCCATTTAGAAATCAAGCTCCTCTACCACAACTGGAGAGAAGATCACAAAGGTGTATGAGCTGGGAAGCGAGCCGGAGCGCAAGCTGTGGGTGGACCGGTACCTCACCTTCATGGAGGAGCGGGGCACGCCTGTGGCCAGCCTGCCGGCCGTGGGCAAGAAGCCCCTGGACCTCTTCAGGCTCTATGTCTGTGTCAAGGAGATTGGAGGCTTAGCACAGGTGAGAAGAAAATGGCTTGAAAACCAACGCTTCAGAAGCGCAATACGCACTCTTTCTCGAAGATTTTCTGCTGGTTACACCGTTACATTTTTAGCACTGACAGTAGAATGAAGGAAATTGTGTTTCATGGTAATCAGGCTGTAATATCTTTTCTGACTACATTTTGGTCTGCATAATCACTCTAGAAATGAGCAGTTTGAAACAAAATTGACCATCACCAGAGGCAGATTAAGTTGTTATCTGTTATGGGGAATCCAGCAATACTACTAAGAGAGGAAAAAAAGAAGACCACTGGATGAAAGTCATGAGTAAGAAACAGATGATAGGACTGAAAGGAAAGAGCTAGAAGGAAAAGTAGGTTTTGAAATGTATCATTCTTAGATAAGTGTACTGCCTTTAGGACAAGTCATTTCTTCTGAAAAGTAGCAGAGAGATTCTTGAAACTGTCCTTTGTGCCAGACCTTTCATCTCTTGAGTGTCTGTATATTGTACATTTTTCCCTTAGAGGTGGAGTGTTTTCCCTGTGTTTGGAAAATGCTTATGGGATATTTTGCTTTTCCTTGTAAACATAAGGAAAACAAGAGCAAGGTGAATCACCTAACTGAGATGAAGGCAAATAAAAGCAGGAAGAGCTGAGAATAAAGAGCCCAAGTGTTAGAAGGCACGCAACTTTTTGCAGCTTTGTTCCTGCTACTGAGAGTGTGTGATGTGTTGCAAATGGGAGACGCTTTCGTTTGTATTACAGTTAAATGGAACTAGGATTTTTTGCAAAGGGATGTATGGAAAATTATTTTCTGGTCAGTCTGTATGATTGACCACCCCAGAGGAGAAGCAGATGTTGCCTTGTCTGCATAGCACTGTAAAAAGGGAAAGCAGGAGAACAACTAAGAGATGGTCAGTAGAAGCCGTCTTAGCTCTGGTACTCAGCTGTGTCTCCTCTCCTGATGCTCACAGAGCATGGAGCTTCTCCCTTGTGTCTGGGGCTAAGTGCTGAAAGTTACTGAGTGCTGAGTTGAGGATGTTTCAGTGCTTTGCAGGATTAGGCTCTAAACCCAGATGTATAGATAAAATATCTATATATAATACTTAATATTAAAGTAGAACTTCACACTAACCTACAAAAATTGAACACCAAAGTATGGCAAATCATATTAAATCCTTGGAGCACTTTTAGTGATATATCTGGTAGTTCAGGAAAGACACTCACAGCATCAATCAAAACACTTTTAATGCTGTTTTTAATAGCACACTTTACAACATAGAATTTGGCTGCTGGATTAGATCATTAGTCCTTCAAATCCAGCGACGTTAGCTGTTCCTGTTATCAAAGGAAGGCAGAGAACCCTAACACAGTTCACCTTGCCAGCTGTTAAATGCTAAATATGGGTAAGAGATGTAATCTTGACATTTTCAGTGATTAGCTCATGCCCCCTCCCAGCATCATAAAGATTTGATTACTTTTAGCTCAAAAACTTTATTATAGGTAAATTGTGTCATGCAGCTTCTCTGCCTCATATGGTTTGATTGGGGCTGTGGTATATGACTGTTGGCGTTAAAAATTAAGCAGGAAGGAGCGGGTCGAGTATTCTTCATATTGCTCGTTACCCGCGAATTTATTTTGTTTTGGAAAACACAGTGAAAATTTGCAGTGAGACATTATGCCTTGCCAAAGAATAGATGCTGTGCACTTGAACTCATTTTTTAAAGGAGCCTGAGTTGCAGATTTGTGTGCTACAGTGCTGATAAGAATTGACATTGAAAATAGAGGCTCTTGGTTTTGCTGTTACGCCCACATGAGTGATCACCATGTTTGCCTGTTTGGGGCTATGAGAGATGCAGGACTTTGCCTGATTAGATTTATTTAAATGCATTTTATTAATATTCTATAAAATCGTTGCTTCAACTGCTATGCTCTGTGTCTCGTGATGCTGCCGAGAGAGCAGTCAGAGTGTAGCTGTGCAGCAGTGCTACATATTCTGTGTCTGAATCCCTGCAAATGACAGGGTCCCAACATGAGCAGAGCAGCTGTTGGCAGTCTTCTTTTAAATGCCAATATAGCGGGCATTTAGGCATGAATGTTTCTGTTTGCATTATGCAGTGTGTTCATTATGCACCACTTAGCTCTAAGTCAGTAGGCACAAAGGGCTGTGTAACTGGATTTCAAGCCTCAACAGGGGCAGTTTACGAAAATCTCTTCTCCTTTAACTCCTGGGTTTTTGCAGGATGTACCAGAGAAATAAAAACATTTCACAGAGCAATGCCAATCTGCCTGCTATTAACACTATCCCCAAAAGATCTTTGTTGACTGGCAGCAGGTGCAATGTTATTAGACGCAGAAATGTAAGAAATATTTCCTTTGCTGGAACACAGCTCTGGCAGCAGTAGGGCTAATGATATCCTTTGTAGCTATACCAGTTAAGTTGGGATCATAAAATTTCATGGCTTGGGGCCAGTGCTGGTCATCATGACATGCAAGAATCAGGATTCATCTCCAGTAAAGGCCGAGGTGCTCAGCCCTTCAATGCCCATGTATTTCGGCACTGCCTCCCCTCACGGGGTCCTACGCAGGCATTGTGCAACAGTTTGAGTGGCCCTTGGGCATTACAGCAAAAATACTGGCTGCTGTTACTGCTGCAACTGAACAAGGCAGTGGTATCAGCCAGGATGACAAATGAAGTAAGCTGTAGCTTCAGATCAGCGGTGTCTGAGGGACTCATGAACAGCTTCTTTCAATATTCTTTGTCAGCACTGTAATACAGGGTATTGCTGGTCTAGCCCCATGTATTTGAAATCTGCTTTAATTAATTAATGGGTCTCATTTCACTTTGCCTCTCATCTTGCAAAAGGATCATTGATCTGTCCCTGCAAGACACCCTAAAGTGACAGGACTTGAACTGGCAATTATAGGCTAAACTGTGTGACAGCTGGTGGCTGTTTTGGAGGGAAAATTATTTTTCATATCAATGCTCAACCACTTAAATGGCAGAATAATACTGTTATTGCTTTCTAAATTAGTTTTTAGAAGCTACTTTTTAATTAGAAGGGGGTGGCTGTGGCTGTGCTGGGAGATGAATTGCCAGGCGCAGAGCGTGCGCCCTGGAAGAGCGCAGGGCGTCTGGACGACGTGCCATGCCGAAGACTCCCAACAAGCACGGCTTTTTATGGAGCTATCAGCAGGTTTCTTAATGGCTTTATAACTGTAAATGCTGTGCTGTCGATGCACTACTGCGCGTGGGAGTAATGAACAGTAGTTAAAAAAAGGAAAATAAAATAATAAAAGTAAACCAAGACATTAAGGGCTTTTCTTGTCTCCCGACTTTTAAACAAACCACTTTGCCACAAAACCCCGTGATTCTGCGATTTGTTGTTCCAGGTTAATAAAAACAAGAAGTGGCGTGAGCTGGCAACCACCTTGAACGTTGGCACCTCGAGCAGTGCCGCCAGCTCCCTGAAAAAACAGTACATCCAGTACCTGTTCGCCTTCGAGTGCAAGATTGAGCGCGGGGAGGAGCCCCCTCCAGAAGTCTTCAGTACTGGAGATACAAAGAAACAGCCTAAGATTCAGCCGCCATCTCCTGGTGAGTAGCAAAACTGCAGCCTCTTATGCAACCATTTTTTTAAAAAATGCGGAAGTTGCTCATCGGGCCGCACTGCGTGTGCTTGGGAGCATCACTTGCTCATGAAGGATGAAACCCGAGCTGGTTCCTGGCTCAGGAGGCATCTTAACTCTGAAGTTACATGCCTATTTTGTCACTGCTCACTCATACAAAAGTATCTACTCACTCAGAGGTATAAAGACGTTTGCTTAAGTATTTGCTTCTCGACCTGACAGATTCAAAGCTAGCAAAGTAGGAGAGGAAGCATTCTGCAGGGATATGCTTGTAGTGTGTGTTAGACATGAGGCACTCAGTGTTAAAAACTGTGTATTTAAGAATCTGTTCCTTGCTGTTTCATTACTGCTGCTCTGAAGCTGAATATTCATCGTGGCTCTCGGGGGGTAAAACTTGTACCTGATACAAAGGAGGACAGCAGGCACGGGGCTACCCAGGCGCTCGCAGACAGGAGGCCGCTCCGATGCTCTTCATCTGGACCTGGGGCAGCGGGAGAGAGCTCAGAGCTTGGTGCAGCCACGGTCGGCGTTTAGGGGCACGCGCTCTGGGCTGCTGCTGCTGATCACGGGCATCAGATGAGCTGCTAGCATCACCGCCAGCATCTTGTCTGAAAACCTGCTGTGGGCAGGGAGTGGTTTGGGTCACTCTTTTGTGGTGGTGGAAACCACAGTTTTCCTTCTGTGTTATTTTAGCTCAAGATTTGATAGTCGTGATTGATATTCAACATAGGGAATTTTTTGAGTAGTAATTTCCTAAGCACATAGAAAATGGGCTAGCAAATATTTTTCTCCATTGCTGACTCCTGGTCTACCTATGGAGGAAGAGGAAAATTCCCCTCTAATTTGCTGGATATTAGACCTTTCTGATCAATAAGATAATTTTGTTAATAACTATCTTCACAATTGTTACCAAGCTGGCCACCTCCTCTTACTGCCAGCGGAATTTCATTCTTGGAATAGTTAAAGCAGTTTCCTGTATTAGATGGCAGCATTTAATATAAGTAAAAAGTATTTAAAATAATTTAATTTCTGTTACTGCAGTTCACTGACTGGAGATAGGAAGTGAAGAGTCAGGGATCTAGCAAACTCGCCAGGCAGTTTGGAAGCTACAAGGGCTCAGTTTGAGAATTCCTCTCTTAGGCACCAGAAACTGCAAAGACCTTGCTAATCATATAATACAGTTCTTGCCTTTACAAGATCGTTTCTTATGATAGTGCTTTGTCAGTAGAGTAAAAGATACAGCCTCTAAGGCTTAAGTCTTTTCCTTTTACAGACTAATGTATTCTGAAAGAATTTTAGGGGGATGTGTTAGGTCAAATGTATTTTCCTAGCTACATCTCTTCCCATAATAGTTTAGATAACTTCTCTTCCTTGGTAACATGTAGGAGCGTCAGGTATCCCAATGCTGATTATTTAATACAGAAAACAGTTATGCTGCTTTGCAAAGCAAGCTTACAAAATTCGGAGAAAAATTCCTAGTACTAGAAGTGAAGCCTACAGTCCAAATATTTATGTGCCTGACACAAACACAGGGTGTCAGAAGGTGCACAATTGTTAAAACTAAAAGATGTTTAGATTTGCTTGTCACCTCCAGAGACAGCTGGTAAGGGGAGCTGAAGCTGAAGGAGGGTGAAAAGGAAATTAATGTAAGGAAAAAAAAAGGAGAGAGAAAGAAAGAAAAAAAACCCTAAATAGCAGTGCTAAAATTGAAACAGTATTCTGCTTTTTTAACTCTTTTCCTTTATCACTGTCCAACATTGCTCTCAGTAATTTTGTTCAGGGACAATCAAAATAAAATATGCGGAATTTTGAGATGAAGAATCAGTCTTTAAATATGTAGATTTGAAACAAAGCAATGTGAATGCCCGTTTTTCATAAAGTCCTTTTGCATCATCACGCTGTGTATGTATGAAAATGACAAAGTCCAAGTTTAAATTTATCATGAGTTTCAAACAAACTGTCTGTAAAGAGAACTGAAACTATTTTTCTAAAATAAAAACACAGCAGGATACAGAAATTAGAAGAGAGGGAAGCGAGCAAAGATCTCAAGGTTTGTTTTGTTGGCTAGAAAAGAACTCATGTCACTGAATGGAGTGCACTTCTGTACGGAGAAAAGCCTCCCCAGTGTGTATCAGCTTTAGTACATGAAGTCCCGCTGAGGTATAGATGCTGCAAAGAGTACAGGCCTGTTCTCTTAACAGTCAGCTTTTTTCCTTGCGCCTTTTTCTTTAGTATATACCAACATTAACATTTTAACTGCACAAAAGAAGTAGAGTTGTGGATGTACTTTAGATAATCTGTTAGTTTTGGGCATTCACATAGAGCAGGAGCCCAATGTAACAAGCAACAGTAGCTTTGAAAGGTCCTTGCTTTAAACCTTAGGGCCTCTGTGGTGCAGTTAGCTCAGTGTAGGCAGAGCCACTTGAAGGCCGAATCCATTTTGCAGAGAACTGGTTGCAGTATTAATGCCTAAATTAATTCTGGTTAAAAAAAGAAAAAAAAAATGAAAAGCAGGGAGTCTTGTCTCAGGGAGGAGATTGTTGTATTTTGTCCAATTCTAACCAGCTGATGCTATGAGATCAGGGTCATGAGAGAGTTTTAAAATCAGCTGATCCTCATAAAACTGAAGGCTGAAGGGCAATTCAGAGCAAGGCATTTCTTGCAGTTGTCCCCCAAACAAGGGGCGAATACGTGCCTGTCTTGTGGGTGATCTTTACAGTGTAAACCTGGAGGGGACACTGTGAAACACAGTGTAACAACCATAGGGAGCGGCTTGCTACAGAACAACACAGAACAGCACACAGCTGGAGAAAGCATGTGATGTGTAAGTCATATTTACTGGACGGCGATGCAGTGCTCCGGGCTCGTGTGTTAGTTATTTGCTGCCAGCTCTGTGTTGGGGATTCTCCCGTCATTCCCACGTTTTCCAATATCGCTCCACTGGAGTAGATGGTGCGTGGAGCGTGCAGAGTTGAGAGCTGCGTACACCGCGGCTCAGGACAGTGCACGTATGTGGGCTCTGCGCCAGGGCTTGCATGGACTTGCCCTCAGAGAGGCTCGTTGGAGGCCTGCAAGTGCAGTCTGCAGCGCTCGTCAGAGGTGTGTGCGGAGACACGAGGGCCCTGCAGGTCACATGCCCCTTTTTGGCCGAAAGACGCACAAATTATGTGGTGAATTGTGAACTGAGAATAACGCTGGTCAGCCATTGTGCTGCAGAGCGGATGGGGAACACAAACAAGTTTAAAAACATGTCGGCACGGAGCAGTTAGTTACACCTCTGCTGTACTGCGGCACTGCCGGCCCTTGCTGCAGCACGCCGTTACGTGTGTGTGGCCCAGAGCTACGGGCCGGCCTCTCCTGCACCGATGCAGCGTGATGGCTGCAGCAGTGCAGCTGAGGGGGCATCTGAAACGCCCTGGGGCCAGGCCCTGATGTCAACAGCGACGTCATTACCGCACACCTGGAGAGCCGTGCGCGGACGAGCGCGCCGGGAGCGCGTTCCCACCTTTCCTCGGCAGCGGAGGCACCGCACGTGGGGCCGGGGGGCCGGCCCGAGCCCCGCCGCAGCCGCTGAGCGAGCGCGTCCCGAGCAGAGCCCTCCGTCTGCCCTGCCGGGAGCGCAGGGGTGTCACAGCGCGTGTCACGAGGCCACGCAGGGAATCCCCGCGAAGAGGGGCGGGCGCCGGGCACGATTCGCGCAGTGTAAGCGATCCGCTCCCACTGCGGGAGCGAGCTTCACCTTCCGTAACCTCGCCATTGTTTACTTTAGAGAATGCCTTTGTAGCTTCTGGCAAAGGTAGGGATATCCTAGAGAGCGTGTCAGGCCTCATGTTAATGGAGTCTCAAGAGGCTGCAATCTTTTTTCTTTCTTTTTTTTCTGAAGGGAAAAAACTTGCTGGCAAGAGGGAGATTTTTTTTTCCCCTCTTCAGCTGCACATTTCAGCTCTGTTCAGCCAGGAAGGGTCCTTCACCGGCGTGCAGCCTTGGCAAGGGAGCCGCTGCCGTGGGGCCGACTGCCCCCTGGCAGGAGCGCCGGGCCGGGCAGCTTGCCTCCTGCACGGAGGAGGACACTGCTTCCCTTTCGCTCTGCATGTTTTTTTCCCAAAAATTCTTGGGAATATTTTCTTCTTATAAATCCATATGTGTGAGATGAAGAATTAAATATATACACACAGGGTACTTGCCTGGATACCCACCGATCAGTTGTCTAAGCAGAGATTGCCCATGCTAAAAGAAAGGGCAATAATTTTCATCTTCCTTCTCAGTTAATTGTGTTATACTGATGCTTTTAAAGCACTTGAAAAATAGGCAGTTTCTGCTTCAGGAGGTCCACAGTCAAATTTAAACAGCTATCATCAGCTATCATCAAAAACTGGAAGAATGCGTGTAAAATTTCAGAGAACAGCTTAGCAAAAGTAAAATTTAAGGTGAAACCTGAAAAAAGAAGATGTTTCTTTCTTACAAAATGCTTGTTTTCATATTCTGTAAAACAGTGCTAGTAGCAATGTGCATAACTAAGTGTGTGTGAGAGAACGTAATGAATTCGCATTTAATATGTGTACACACAGGCACAGGTGTGCACAGGTAGTGCAGGAAAGCAGTGTTCCAAGTATATTGCTGTTGCTTAAAAGTCAAGTGCTCGATAGTTAGGAAATGCCAAAAGTGAGATATAATCTTTGCAACTTAATTGTGTTTCCTTGTGCATGGACAGTTTGATACACTCTCTAATTACGCACTCTTGTTCTAGTTCTTCCATGAAATATCTGTGTCATTCATGCACAGACAGCACTCAGTAAATGAGCAGCTATTCAGTATTTTGTGTTATCCTCACTGTTTAATACGTGGCCGTTACATAAAGGCACATTTTTCAAGCCAGACTCAGGCAGAGAATTATTGATTTATTCCTTGGATTTTCTCTGGCTGTCATCACAGCTGTATTTGAGGGCTTTAAAAGCATTAATCAATCTTTGCACTACCCATCTGAGGAGAGAAGTAATATATGATTCCCATTCTACAGACAAGGAACTGGGCCACCAAAAAATTTCCATCATGAGTATCTGCTAATTCTGTCTGCCAGTTTTCTGTGTTTTGCCATGTATATTATTCTAGCTGTTGCCCTACATCTTCTGCACAACTGCAAATCGGCTTGTCTAAACAGACCCTCTGAGAAAAGAAACACATATAAGTACCACTTGTGAAAAATTTAGTTTCACTCATCTGCCCAGTATGCACAGGCATTTGGTAGAGGAGCAAGAGCAGAATTCAGTTCTCTAGGGCAGAATTCAGCATCATCTGCCTTAATCATGGCAGCTGGGTGCTATTCATGGATGCTTTAATCATCCCTTCTCCGCGCTCCTCTGCCGCATTTGCAATATGCTTCCCCCACACGTGCAGCGAGGGAAGCAGGGATCCTGCAGAGCAGCCTCGTGCCCCCCCTGCGCCGCCCTGGCCGTCCGGGGCTGCCCCACGTGTCCCGCGGGCTGCAGAGGGAGCGCCCATGGCGGAGGGCGGGCAGCGGGGGCACCGTGGGTTTGCGGGGGCTTTGTTGGTTTGTTGGTTTCTTCTTGTCTTTTCATTTCCGGCTTATCACAGTGCCTTCTTATCGCCACCCCTGTTCTCCTTACTTGGCCTGTCTCGGTCTCGCCTGCTCAAGACTTTTACATCTTTGGGGTTTTGTTTTCCCATCTCTTCACCTACGCATCCCGGATTTCCTCCTTCCCCTGCGCAGCCCATCCGTCCATCTCTCACCCTCGGCTGCCAGTCCTGCTTCCTTTGCTGGTTCTTTGTCCTCAGCGTTTCACCAGCCACTTCTGTTTCCCTCCCCAGACCTTAGGTCTCATCACGTGCATTTTCTGGGCTTTCCTGGTATTCTCTGTTGCCTAGGCCATGTCCATGACAACTAAAGACTTCTGAGATCCAAGCCTGATCTCAGCCACATCCGTATCTTCTTTCTAGGTTCCCAGTCCTCTTTTTCTGTTCTGCTTTTTTGTCAACTGTCACTGTTTCCCTGCCATCCTCTGCGCAGCTGCGGTCGGAGCCTTGGAGGCCCTGTGCGGGCTGGCCTCTGCTCAAGGTTCACGGTCAAGACTGCCTGCGTCAGCCCGAGAGTTGTATGACAGGGAAAGTCCTGCTCACCTCCAGTCTGAAATAACTGCAAATGGGATCTTCAGAAACCCAAGCACTGAATGGATAGCAAGCTACCAATGTCTACATGCAGAGGGGTATTTTTCACCAGTTTGTGATTGGACTAGACGAGAATAAACGCAGAACAGCAAAGGGGCTTCTTGTATCACACGTGTCGCTGTCCTTCTGGCCAATTTTCGTGTCTCTGCTTCAAACAGTGAAGGGAGCATAGCTTCTATGACTGGAAAGGGTGACCAAACATACAGAAAAATACTTCTTTTTGAGGAGAACGGAAGAGGTCCGTTTATTTTTTAGGGCAGTTACAGCTGACATTTAAAAACAAGAAAATCTGAGGGAAAGCTCCATGTGGGTAACTTCCTCATGGCTGGCTGAACCATGAACCAAAGATGCAACTGAAAATCACATCTTGCAAGAGCAGGAGTTAAGCTGCCCAAAAAACGGTACCTGCGGCATCAGCTGTAACCATTTTGAGTATGCGCTTGTGTTACGTTTAAGGCATGTGCTCTTTGCATTGACGCCATTTCTGAAAGCAGAGGTGACCTGCTCAGCC